TATTCTCTAATCCTCTTTCTGAACTTCTCCCAAATTTTCCTCTAATTTTGCCTCCGAACTTTCCTCTAATCATCTTCTCAAATGTTTTCCTAATTCCCTTGAAACTTTGTTTCAAACATTTCTGTCTTCCACAAATTCTCGCTTAAACCGTTCTAAATTGCATTTACAGCTATCCTCTAATCTTTACTATAATAATATTTGCTTTATTTAGCTCTTAATTTGAATTTTTATAAACTCTCCTTCCTAAAATTTCTTTCACTCTAACCTTCTTTTCCTATTTCTCTCCTTTTCCACGACACCAATTCCTGCTACTCGCTTTTCTCATCGTTATACTCACCCCTATAGATTCTCTTCCATAAATTCCTCCTCTTATTCACTTCAAATTTTTCCTTAGTTCCCATTCTAAATTTGTCTGAACTATTCCTTAATCTTCCCTAATTTTCATCTAACTTCTTCCCAACTTTTCCTCAACTCACTTTTCTTGTCGTCGTACTCATCCCTGTAGAGTTCAAACATCCAACATTTCCCTTAAACCTTTCCCTAATTCTTTTCCATAAATTTTTCCTCTAACTTTCACTTTCAACTTTCCTCCAGCTCTCATTTTGCATTTTTCTAAATTTTTTTAGAACCTTCTTCCCAAATTTCCGTGTAACTTCCTTCGACCTTTCCCTCAACTCACTTTTTCACCTTTACAAACATACAAAATTTCCCTTAAATCCTCCTATAAACCTCTTCTAAAAATTTCTCCTCTAACCTCAAATCTGAATTCTTCTAAACTTCTCTTCAATCTTCTTCCCCAATTTTCGCCTAACTTCCTCCAAAGTTATCCTCAAACCTCCCCTCAAATCTGAATTTTTCTAAACTTCTCTTCAATTTCCTTCCCAAATTTCCACCTAACTTCCTCCAAAAGTTATCCTCAAACCTCCCTCAAATTTCTCTCAAATATTTCTTCCGCCCTCTTTCCATTCCCTCCCACGACACCAATTCCAGGTACTCACTTTTCTCGTCGTCGTACTCGTCCCTGTAGAGTACTCTTCCGTCTCCGGCGTCGCCATCGGCGTCTTCCCTTATCACGTATGGCCTCGCGTTCTCCTTGTTCTCCAGGGTGCATGGCAAGGCGAGTCCGAATCTGACCGGTCGACTACTGAAAAAAATCGCCAGGAGAAACAGCGTCGCGTTATTACACATTCTCGGCGAATGAAAACCGTTTAGTTCACGCTAAACGAACCAATATTCTACTCTACCACGCTTTAAGTACGAGATGCGCATATATATATATATATATGGAGGGGGATGAAACAACGATACACGGGCTGGACAGTATGCACAGTGTGTGACATGTCGATGAAGATAACAGAAGCAACTTGCGGGCTCTCCCTGTGAAACGGACGTCGTTCTCGTCCGTCACTAAAATGGTGTATCAACGACGTCGACGCAGATAACGCCGTTCCCTTCGCGACGCGGACGCTTTTTTCCCATTCAACTCGCATTACAGGCTGTTTCAACTACTCGTGATATCGTGAAAGGAAGCTACGATAACTTTTCTTCCTTTTTTTTTCTTTCTAGATATGTTTCATTTAGAGCAGATTGGTTGCTTGTTTCTGCCACCATTTTTAGGGATAGGAAAATTTATTAAAGCGAGGCGGAAAGGTCACATTTGACAATTTTATGCACCTTTGTGTCAGGAACAGTGATAGATTATTTCTTGAATTTGAAAATGTCGCTTAGAACGAGAAATGTTATTTTTCAAAAAATATTTTACTTTAGTTGAATTACTTAAATTATTTAAGTAACTTTACCTTACTCGAATTAATTAAGTTATTTAAGTAACTTTACTTTACTTGAATTACAGTTTTTAAATTTTTTCATAGGAAAGTGTTGTTAGTAATGAACGAAGCAAGATACAACAAAATGTATATGTGTATAAGGAACATGTGGTTAAAATTTGGTTTCAATATCTTTCACGGTTTTTGAGGAAAAGGTACATAAAGCTTGAAAATGTTAATTTTCGAGAAATCACGATCGAAGCAAAAGATCAGTATTACTCCTTTCCTCTATTCACTTTTTCTACGTTTAAAAATTTTCACTGAACGAGGTATTGTAATTTTCAAATAAAATGATTAAAATCACTCCTCGACAAATTTTGAAAAATATGCAGCAATTTATAAAAAAGAAAAAAATACATATTCTTGATTACTGTTCATTTTCTGTTCGTCTGATTTTAATTACAAATTACAGTGAGTACCACATGTTCTTTTTTCAAAAAGTGATTTTTTTACCTAAATACCTTTCCGACTCCCATTTAACGAGAAGGTTAATACTACAACTACTAGAGCAGGGTAAAATTGGATTTTGTACAGTTGGAGAAATTCGTAGGGTGGTTTTTAAAAGGCAGAAAAATTTCAAATTTTCCGTATCTTCATCCTCAGCACTGAATTGAATTTTTAATACTTAATAATTGTTTAATAAAATTTTTCCTTAACCCTTGTGTAGACACCCATCTCTATATTTTCCTTTAACAATTTTTTATGTTTTTATCAAAGTATCGTGAAATCCCATTTTTTAACATTTTTACCTTTCGATATACGTAACTTTCAAAAATAAAAATTTATGCAAACAATTTTAAGCATTAAAGCTTCAAATAACCGTGAACGTTTTGGTTGCCTGCACAAGGGTTAATAAGTGTTTAATAAAAATTTCTTTAACAGAGAATTTTACAGCAAGAATAATTGAAAGATACAACAGTGCGAAGGATTTAGGACGTAAATACGAGCAGACTATAAATATGTATAGTAACAGAAACGAACATTTAGTAAGATTGGAAAACACGACAAATTAAAATAGTTCAAACAGCTGAATTTAAACAAGCTTCAATAATACCACTGAATTATAAACTTCAAGCTGTTCAAACATTGAGATATCGCTTGAATTTAATTAACTCTCCTGCGATTATAACGTGTAATACTCCCCATGCCAGAAAACAGAGACACCGTATAATGTTTCCGCATATTTATGGAACGTTTCAGAAGCAAACTTAAACTGACACAGAAGAATGAACGAAATTCCCCACAAAAATCGTGCACGAATGCTGAAAATTATTCTTGACTGAAGTGTAATATCCAGACTGCCGAATTTTCGGCTAGAATGAGAGTTTTCAGGGGTTTTTAAGGTTGCTGAAGTCGAAAATGAGGGTCGTTTTTCACGGAAATAAGGCGTTCGGAAAATACTCAGATCTTATACAAGATAAATCTTAGATAAATAGATCTTCACTGCTAGTAGACACACTGTTCAGCAATTACTATAACAATGTATGCATGAATATGGCATATGGCTGAAGGATAAATATATCAAGCCCAAAAACGCTCAATGAGTGACAAAATTTTAACCCTCGGACAGTGGATGCCGGGTCAAAAATGACCCAAAATAAAATCTTTCTCGTACGCAGCTGAAACCACATTTTTGTTATTTTAGTAAAATTGTTATATTGTATAAAATTGTACCAATATATTACGATTAAAATAACAAACATATTGATAATACAAGGAGGAGAGTCATGACTGTTGCATCTAAAAGCCGGGTCAGTGGTGAATTACCATATGAAATTAAAGCTAGCAAGAGGATCATGTGTGCGTATCTGGAAAGAAGTCTCTAATTTTTGTATTTTTAACGGTTTATTAACACGTTAACTGCCACGTTGGTCATCGGTGATCGAAGGGCCTCAAATGTTTAGAATAATCAAAATGAAACGAATATCGTCAACTAAAAATTTCGAACGTCATAGCTAACTAGACATTGTTTTGAATTAAAAAAAAAATATATAATACTATGCTTAGAATAATGAAAATTTTCTTGCGACCCTCTGAGCTAAACGTGGCAGTTAACGTGTTAATAGTTAGCACATCCGAATAGAGCTGTACGTAAAAATGCTCCCAAAAATCCAACCCGACAGCCGAACGTCCATAAGTCCGAATTTTTCAAATTTCCGTGAAAGCTGTTTCCACGGAAAGTTTAGCGACCCGAAATACTCCCGAAAATGCACATTCAAATCAAAAATTTTGCAGTCCGCGCAGATATTCTTATATCGAGCTGTACTTTCTCCGTTAAAAGAAACGTCCGAGAAAGCTGAGAAAGGACTTGGCCCCCAGAACAATGGCTCCTTTTTCCTCAGGACTCCGATACTCAGTCGTGAAAGCGAACGAGCGTAAAAGCGTCGAAGCCGCGGCAATAAAAACGCAACAGGACAGAACGTGAAGCAAAAAAAAAGGAAGAAAAAAAGGGAGTGAGAACACGTCACGATTCCCCGTGACGTTTCCTTAATCCATTACAGGGAGAGACGAATCGAGCCCTCGGTTTTGTTCGAGAGAGCTCGATCCTCCTCTCGCCCAAGATCCTCGTTCTCGTCGATCGATGGTTCGAGGTTCTCTAGCTGCGTGACGCGCAGATAATGGAACGTGTGAAGCGTGGGCGACAGTTTTCATGGGTTTCCCTAGGGTTTTCTCATGCTTAAGGTCGTACGTTTACCATGCTCATGGCGCTCGTGACGCTGACACACAGAGAGTGAGAGAGATACAGAGAAATAGAGAAAAATTGAAGTAAAACGAAAAATAGGAAGAATATACAGAGAGAGTGAGAGAGAACGAGAGATAGATAAATAGAGAGAGAGAGAGAGAGAAGAGTGAGAAAGATCGATAAGAAAGACATAAAGAGGTGGAAAAAGTGAAAAATAGAGATATAAAAGAGATAGAAAAATAGAGAAGACCAGAACATTGTTGGTTCTCTGCGATCAACCGCCGTGGATTCATCCTAGGCCTCAACGGTGGCCTTCTGGTTAAGCATAAGAAAAATACCACACTTTAACTAGTGATTGATAAACACAATGATTCTTTGTTTTTTTGCGTTTTTGGTTTGTCTTTTTGTGTTTGTTTCTTTTTGTGATGAATGGATGCGCGAAGTTCTACCCTTCTTTTAAGATTCGCCTCACGTAGGAGCATCGTTCTCGATCCCTTCGATTCAACCTTCGATCCTGAACACGCGACACTTTTATCACTTTAAGAACACGTCAGAATATCCTCGGTACTTTATACTGAATTTAGCGTGTTAGTTATTCCAGGCTGTTACCCGCGAGACGCTGACTCGTAAAGGGACCTATAACACGTTTACGTGCCTGGGTGAATGCACTACCGTGGTCTGATTACTGGCAGGATTGAAGATCCCGTAAAATGGTACTCTCTGGACGTTGCACCGCGTGGCTTTCAGAGTACGAGGAAACTTTTGATCGGGGAATTTTGGAAAATTTACGAGGGGACGACGTTGGATTTTCTTCAAATTAATTTTGCGGTATTTTATTGCACAGTATGTACTTGCAAGTGTCTTCGCGAAATTTCAGGACTTCTGTGGAACTTTAGGAAAAATTGTGGAAATTTCGTAATTTAGTTTTTCGTCGAAAAATTTTACAAACTGTAATAATTCATTTTTCGCAGAAAACAAACCTATTGTTGAACTTTAAGGCAAATTACAACTTAACTTGATCACTTCAATCATTTCCGTTGCTATTGGACCGATATAGATATTTTTTTTTAAATACCTTCACTTTTCTTTTAAATATCGTTATTTTTTTGTCAAAGTTATCAAGGTTACCTCTAGTGTTTTAACGAAACCTTGTAATTTCTTTCTGTCTATATTTTAGCAGACGAAAAACAAATCCGGCAAGCACTATGGTGTACTTTCTTTCGTCGTTGGAACAGGAAAAATGGTGAGTGTAAAATATTCGAAATACTGGAGGAGTGAGCCTCTCTAAACCAAAGGTATTTACTAAAAATTGTATTGGTCCAATATTAACGGAAATAACTGAGGTGATCAAGTTACGTTATCCACCCTGTATGTATAATTAAATATAGCAAATATAATAAATTTTACGTAATGTAAAAAAAAGGAGTAGTTTCAGTTAAAAAAGAAAAGGTAACATTCATATATCCCAAGAAATGCAGATAAAGAAGCTCCAGTTTACGAAAGTTCAACTTTAGTCTAAAACAATTTTTTGTAACGTTCAAGGAAAGTGTTGAAATTTCGTGGGGACACTTATGTAGGACACACTGTATATTTCATTTTACATCAGATAAATTTTGCAATGCTTCAGCAATTATTAGTTACCTATTGCCCAAGGTACAGGGATCGACTTTTTCGATATTCAATTAAAGAATAGACCTGAGAACCGATAAGAAGATCCACACGATCAATGAGAACCCAAATCAGCACTGACAAAACTCGTCGAAACGGAACAGAAGGGAGTACGATCGCGCATCCAAGTGAACGAAACGATGAATGAAAAGGAACCTGCGAGAGAGAGTATGCGGGAACACGGTGTACGTGCACGCGCGTATGTGTGTGTGAGAGAGAGAGAGAGAGATGACAAGGCTGGAAGGTGAAGAACGATGTTCCAGACGAGCCTCTTCAGGGTTTCCAGGCGTTTTCATTAAAGTCACCGCGCTAATTAAACCCGAACAAACGTCGTCATGATTCCAGTCACCCATTCTGTCCATTGAAATTGTCTGAGTGCCTTACGAGACTCTTCCGACGTGATCACAATCGAACGTAAGAAGGGAGAGAAGATCTTCTCGTGGACGCCCTCAAACCCTGAAGAGGACTCGTTTCTCGCGACGAATCTTATGCTTGAACGAGAGAAAGACTCGTGGACATTGTTGAATCGTTTCTTCTTTTTTCCTCCAACCTTTCTTTCAATTTCTTTCTTTTTTTTTTTTTTCGTTAAATCTTGT